AAAAGGTTTACTTTTCACTATATTTTTATTTTATTGTACCTTCTGATTTCGTATTCTATTTATTGCCTATTGGAATACTTAATGCTGACTCAAAACTCAAAAATGGAGGTTTCACATAAACTTTTTTCTTTTTTAAATTAAAGCAATTAATTCAAGATAAAATAAACTTTTAACAATGTAAATTTTTTTAAAAAGGAGTTTGGCCAATAATGGAAAACTAAGAACAGACCGACCAAGGCAAGCCAAGGACTATTTTGAGAAAAGGAGTCCGCGAATAAAGTCTGAACTGCCCAGTGGCCCTGCAACACAACTTTTATTGCAGAGATAACAGCATCATGACATTTCAGCCTGAGAACACTGAACATTTTCTAGAACAATCTCCTCTTGTTCCAACTTCAGGCTTAGCAAACTCACATGCCTTCCACGTGGACCGACCTAACACAAGCTAGTTTCACAGCCCCTAGTAATCCAAACTATACACGTAGCTTAGCAATTCAGGTTTTAGCTTTTTAAAGGCCTTTTCTTAGTGAAACAAAACAAGGACACCAAAAACAAGTTTCCAAGTCTGCCAAGGCTGAAAGTCAGATACTAGACTGTGGCAAATCCAGCAAGGTAGTATTACTCTTTTTTTTTTTTTTTGAGTCAGAGTTTCGCTCTTGTTACCCAGGCTGGAGTGCAATGGCGCGATCTCGGCTCACCGCAACCTCCGCCTCCTGGGTTCAGGCAATTCTCCTGCCTCAGCCTCCTGAGTAGCTGGGATTACAGGCACACACCACCATGCCCAGCTAATTTTTTGTATTTTTAGTAGAGACGGGGTTTCACCATTTTGACCAGGTTGGTCTCGATCTCTTGACCTCGTGATCCACCCACCTCGGCCTCCCAAAGTGCTGGGATTACAGGTGTGAGCCACCGCGCCCGGCTGTAGTATTACTCTTTCAGATACCTTTAGAAAGGCAACGAAGTAGCTTCCCCTAAAGATAGTACTTTCTTTCAAAATGTCAATAATGGCATAGCTACAAGGACAGTTTCTAATTTTTCTAACATTTCCCCCACCTTGTTGGACTAAGTTACTATTATTCACTCGTTAATACTAATTATTTTTGGCTTTCTATCTGGCACATAAAACAGGATGACATGTTTGCTGTAAATTCTCCTTCAAACTATTCTGTTATTCACTGAGGGTCTACTATGAGGTAAGCACTACTCTAGGTGCCAAAAGAAATTTAAAAAGCAAATAAAGAGGCCAGGTGCAGTGGCTCACGCCTGTAATCCCAGCACATTGGGAGGTCAAGGCGGGCAGATCACGAGGTCAGATCAAGACCATCCTGGCCAACACAGTGAAACCCCATCTCTACTTTAAAAAAACCAAAAAAAAAGAAAAAAAAAAAAATAAAGCAATCTGGGTGAGCATAAAAGCATAAAAGAAATTTGAATGGAGGGAAAATCTGTACAAACTCAGAAGTACAAGGGTACAAACAAAGGAGTAAGCAAGGTCCTGACTAGATCTGTCTATATAAGTAGGTGTTGTTCTGCCACTTCCCTCCATCCTATCACCATTCTCCTGGGCCCTCTTTCCATTGCTGCAACTAAACAGCCAACACTCTTCAATAGCTTCCTTCCCTTCCAGGCCTTCAATGGCCTTTAGCCTCCTCAATTATCTCGGCTGGCCTCTGCTTTCTCACCTGCCTAGGCAGCCTGCAGGAATTACTGCATCCTCTCCTTCCTCTTTTCCCTTGTGAGCTCCATGATGCTCCTTACCAACAGGAACAAATGGGAAGCTGCATAACTGGCAGATATCTTCGCCCTTGTACCTGAACTAGAATTCCCCAAATTGGTGTCCCATATCATCCAACTTTTGCTATAAGTTGAATGAAGTGAATTTTCTGTACCTAGCTCATAAAAGATGCTTAGTCAATATCTGCTCTGTATCTACAATAGGCAAGAATAGCAAAACTCTGAGTTGTTGTAATGATGATTTCTATTAAATCATTTTCCAAACTTATATTTTATATAACTCCAATTTTATGGGTCTAAAATGTGTTATCTCGAGGGAAAACAAGAACTGTTTGGTCAAATATGCATAGAAAACACTGGGTTATACCAAGTTAAATGAGTTTCTTTACTGTAGGATTACTGATGGTACATTTTTACATCTATTTATTTATTTTTTGAGACAGGATACCACTCTGGATGGTGGTGTGGTCTTGGCAAACTGCAGACTCCACTTCCCAGGCTCAAGTGATCCTCCTATCTCAGCCTCCAGAGTAGCTGGGACTATAGGCATGCACCACCATGTCTGGATAATTTTTGTATTTCTTTGTAGAGACAGGGTTTTGCTATGTTGCCCAGGTTGGTTTCGAACTCCTGGACTCAAGCAATCTGCCCTACCTCAGCTTCCCAAAATGCTGGACTTCCAGGTATGAGCCACTCCACCAGGCTTGATGATACATTTAAGAAGTTAAAGTGAATCTCAAATGAGAACATTGGGGAACTGTTAACTGAGGCATTTGTCACATAATCTTTTGACTTTTTTTCACAGAGCATCTCCTAGGCCTTAATTCCTTCTCTATAAGATGACTTACTTCATAGAGCTAATATGAAGGTTAAACAGGTTAAGACATATAAAAATGCTTAGAACAATGCTAGGCATATAATAACCACTCAAGAAGAGTTAACTATAATTACCACTACATTGCCTCATGCTAATATTAAACAATATTCCCAGAAACATGAAATGAGAAAATGTTTACTTATGGAAATTCCCACTGTTACCACTAAGTGCATGGCACAAGTCCTCTCTTTGCCTGAGAGAAATTGTCTTAAGCCTACAAATAATAGACAAAACGTATAGAAATACTCAATATATGTAACAGGCTTATCGACAAGAAACATATATATGCACAAAGTTAAAAACGGTCATAGGAAAAGTCTGGAGTACTCTGAAGACTATGTTGGCAAATACTATGTGCCAGTAACTATATACACAGTCGTAGTATGTACATGACTAGCACATATATAACAGTTTAATTTAAAAAAAAAAAAAACTAAAAAAAGCATAGATAAGGTAACGCATATTCAAAGTAACACATATTACCTTGAATAACAACCCAAATATTATTTCCTAATCACTGTAAAACAACTGGGAAACCCATTACATGTTTCTAAGTAGGCTTTCTCAGGTACACTGGCTCATGCCTATAATCCCAGTACTTTGGGAAGCTGAGGTCAGGAGTTAGAGACCAGCCTGAGCAACACAGAAAAACCCTGTCTCTATAAAATATTTAAAAATTAGCCAGGTGTGGTGGTATGCACCAGTAGTCTTAGCTACTCAGGAGGCCAAGGCAGGAGGATTACTTAAGCCCAAGAGTTTGAGAGGTTACAGTGAGCTTTGATCACCCCACTGGACTCTAGCCTGGGACACAGAGTGAGACCCTGTCTCTTTAAAACAAAACAAAACAAAAAAACAGAAGTGGTTGTTGCCATATTTTGTTTAAGAGGTATTAGAGGTAATTGGTTGAATTTATCTTCCAGATATGTCACAATCTAAAACTTGCTTAAACAAACTCATGCATCTTACACAGTGGTACAATTCTTAAGCGAGATCTACTAAAATTTATAGAGGAATTTTGTATAAATTTACAAAGGAATTTCTATCTAGTCATCTGGGCTGGTTTTAGAACTATATAAAATTTTCTCAGAACTAAGAAACGGACATGTACAGTGGCTCAAGCTTGTAATTCCAGCACTTTGGGAAACCAAGGTGGGAGAATCACTTGGGCCCAGGAGTTCGAAACCAGCCTGAGTAACATAGTTCGAAAACAGCCTTGTCGCTGCAAAAGAAAAATTTTAAAATTTAGCCAGGCATAATGGCACAGTCCTGCAGTCCAGCTACTCAGGAGGCTAAGGTGGATCGCCTGAGCCCAGGGGGTTGGGGCTGTAGTGAGCTGTGATTATGCCACTGCATTCCAGCCTGGGTGACGGTGAGACCCTGTCTCAAACAACAAAACAAAACAAAACAAAACAACTGAGAAATGATCAGAAACAAAAAACTAAGCTATAAAGAATTAAATGGGTTAGTGGAACTAAATTTTAACAAAAAAAATGTGCATTTTATAAAAGTCAACTTCCCAACTAAACCCATAACACTGATGGCAAATTTTTCTGGTTTTAAAATACCAGGATTCTAAAGCTATAACCTCACAACAAATCACTGCTTCTATCATCTAGTGTCTTCCCTTTATTTTACGAGCTATTTATTACAAACAACCTGCTAATCCTCACATTAAAAAACTTTAGGACTGGGGTCAGCAAACTATGGCACAGGCCAAATACAGCTTGCTGCCTGTTTTGTACAGCAGATGGACAAGAATGGGTTTCTAAATTTTTAAAGGGTTATAAAATAAAGCGAAGCATATGCGACAGAGACCTTATGTGGACTGCAAAACCTCAAGTATTTACTACTTGGAAAAGCTTTCTGACCCTGCTCTAGAATATTTATCATAGCTTACTCAGTAATTTCAGATAATTCTTATCAATGAGAGGGTCATAGTCAATTACCAAAATCCACAGTAATTAAGAACTGAGTGCCTTTATAAAAATATTTGTTCTCTTCATGCATACCACTAGTTTCGATAACCAATTATTTCTTAGAATGCTAGCACAAAACCCAGCACATTAATGGAAGCTTAAATATCAAACTTGCACTGCCTGAACAATAGTGCTTGTTATAGTGGCAGCCCACACAAAGTGGTGGTTTAGCCTGGAAACAGAAAATCCTTTTCTCTCATGGGAATTTAGACCAACTGGTAAGTGAAATAAGCTTTCTCATATTGCATCCCCTCCATATTTCACTTAACTAAAATAAATAATTCTCCTTTGATTTTTCTGAAGTCTACCACAAGTGAGATAAATGTATCTACAAATCTCTAATGTGTTTTCTCATTGAGTTTTCTTACAGAGAGTTCTCAAAGTACTCAAAAGAAAGCAAACTCAATACTCACTCGAGAGCAGGTCTCAGAACTCTGACCTTTAATGCCTCTAATATTCTATTTAACTCCACAAATGGTTCTTTCTGACTTGGGTCTACAGAAAGACCAGATTCCTGAAAAAAACAGAAAGAACTTTTGTTAGTAGCAATCAGGGTAAGGAGATAGTGGTAAAAGTATATTCTAGATTGTAAAATATGGGGCAAACCATTAAAGATAATTTCCTAGAGACTGATGACTGCCCCCTAGTACCATTCTTCCCCTCTTTTCCACAGCAGAATCCCCAAATTTCAGTAGGGTACATAAGCAAATGGATTAAAGCTGGGTATGGCTTTGTAAGACAAAGTTCTGACCAATGAAATGTAAACGTGCACTCTGCCCCTTCCTGGGATACAAAGGTGTGGCTGGAGCTTTGGCTGCTCTTCTGGACCCTGAGGATAGGAAACACCCTGGGAATAACAGAGTTACAAGGTGCTAAGTCCCTAAGAGTTTCACGAAGCAGAGATACCAAACATGCTGTGGACGTCTTACTACCTATTTCTGTGCAAGAAAAAAAACTTCACTTTTGCTTAAGCCACTATGATTGTGGGTCTTTTGTTACTTAAAAGCAAACTATCTTCAATGATGGTTTACTGCAGGACATTATATGGACACACACACAAAAGCCCTGTAAGGTACAGAGAAAGACCTGAGTTATCATTTATTTGAATTGTTTAAAATAGAAAAGCCTTAGATTAGAGGTTTGGTTTATAGACTAATTTTAAATTTTTTAATCCTTTTGGTCCTTCATTTTTCTAAATAAAAATGCAACAGCACATGGTGGCTTAGAACAGAGTGTGAAGACACATGAATAGGGGCCTGAATCCCAAGTTCTTTCACAAAGCACCTGTTAAGGCCTTGGGCAAGTTACTTACTTCTCTAGACCTTAGATTTTTCATCTGTAGGATGGAAAAATAATTTGTACTTCATGGGACTGCAGCAAGGAATAAAGGCAGGGCTTGGCTTAAGGTAAGCACTCAATATATGGCAGCTGCTACTATTATGACTACATGGTATTGGTAAACTATTCTAGAGCCCTAAGCTCATGTGTGATAGAAATAAAAGACAAATGCTGCTAACGCAAAGTAAAATTTTAGTTGGAAATCTATTTGATAAAATTGTTTAAGCTGGGCTAGATCAGAAGAACAAACATCAATGTTTTTGTCTTTTTCCTCTTGTCTGCTATACTAACTTTCTCTATCAAAAAGGGAAATGAAGAAAGGATCACTTCTGAGCCCTCTGATTCATGACCCGGGACTAACCTTCTAGGACAGGAACAAGAGAAGAATAATTTGGACAAGTTCTAGAACTGTATTTTTGTCACTTAAAAATTCCCCCAAAAATTCCTAGTAAAATGAGGTCATCTCTAATAATTAAAATATTAAAAATCTATCCATAGCTAGAGGAAGGCTCAAAACCCCACCCTGCAAATACTGTAAACTTCAAGGAGTCTCCTTCTTTTTCATATCCTCCCAGTTGGCACACTGTTACCTGACAGAGCTCCTCAGCTACATCCAGCATTCCTTGTCGAAAGAAGTGCTCCACCATCACCTCATTGAGAAGTCTTTGGCTGTCTGCCTGCCAGCAGCCATCTATTCCCACACTGCTAATGTCAGAATCAAAATTCTGGGGGAAAAAAACAGAAAGAAAATCACAAATAATTTTCACTCCACTTAATAGAAAAAAAATGGTCTTCATTTCGGTCTGAGATACCCTCAATAAGTACCCAACTACAATTTATCTATACCATATCAAAGGAAGGAATTTTTCCACTGCTCGTTTCTAAAACATGTCATATTAGAAAAGTAAATACGTGTATTTTTAGAGAGTATTTTTTAAAAGTAGATTTAATAATAGTGCCCATGAATAAAATAAAATAAGTGAATGAACTGATTTCTAGACATTATATACAGCAATATTTTTAGGGGAATGCAATGACCTGTAAAAGCATGCTCACTGCAGCACTGTCTGTAATGGTAGGGGAAAAAAGGAGAAAAAACATGAGAATCCATGGCACAACCCAACAAGTGCAGTATTGAGATCAGAAGTGGTTGGGGGAGATGGCTAAGTAGTTAAGAGAATGGTCTGTGTACACTTTTGGGTTTGCCTTTGAGCTATGCATGCATGGTCCTGGCTCTAAACAGCAAACTACAGATTTTGAAAACTGAACTAGGGAATAGACCTAGTTCCTAGATCCCAGATTGGCTACCACGTGGTACACACACAGGACAAATCTAAATAACTGTTAATGGTTTTAGGAAAAAAACTAACACTGAAACTACAAGCCAGAGAAGACTGGTCAGAACTTGTGGCCTGAATCCAACCAGGATGATTGCCTGCTAAAACAAAAATACCAACAATCTCCATAGAACTTAAACAAGACCCAGAATACTATTAACACAATATTCCAACTGTCCAAGATATGCTTCAAAATTACTTGGCATATAAAGATCAAGAAAATCTCAATTCACCTGGAAAAAGATGATCAACAGACACCAATGCCAACATGACAGAGATGTTGGAATAGTCCAAAACTTTAGAGCAGTTATTACAAAAATAAAAACACTCTTGAAACAAAGGGAGAGACTTAGCAAGGAAAAAGAAAATACAGTAACCAAAATTAAAAACTCATTGTATGGACTCAACAGCAGAAGCAAAGTGGCAGTGCAAAAGTCAGTGAAGATCAACAGAAATCATCCAGTCTGGGCTGGGTGTAGTTGCTCATACCTGTAATCCCAGCACTTTGGGAGGCCAACATGGGTGGATAACAAGGTCAGGAGTTCGAGACCAGCCTGACAAACATGGTAAAACCCCATCTCTACTAAAAATACAAAAATTAGCTGGGCATGGTGGCATGTGCCTGTAATCCCAGCTGCTCAGGAGGCTGAGGCAGGAGAATCACTTGAACCTGGAAGGTGGGAGGTGGAGTTTGCAGTGAGCTGAGATCGCGCCACTGTACTCCAGCCAGGGCGACAAAGCGAGACTCCATCTCAAAAAAAAAAAGAGATCATCCAATCTGAACAACAGAAAAAAAGATGAACAGAGCCTCAGGGACCTGTGGGAAAATCACAAAAGATCTAATGTGTGTCATCAGAATACTAGAAGAGAAAGAGTATGATATAGAAAAAATATTTGAAGAGTATTTCCCCAGTTTAGCAAAAGACATAAACCTACAGATTCTAGAAGCTCAGTGAGCTCTAAAAAAGATAAAATCATAAATTCAAAGAAATCTGACCCAAACATCTCATACTCAAACTGGTAAAACTAAAGATAAAGCAAAAAAAATCTTGCAGGCAGCCAGAGAAAAGTGGCATGTTACTTACAGGGGAACCTTGATTCGAATGACTACAGATTTCTCAACAGAAACTATGGGGGCCAGAAAGAAGTGGCATGACATCTGTCAAGTACTGAAAGAAAAGAACTGTCATCCTAGAATTCTATATTCAGTGAAAATACCCTTCAGGAATGAAGATGAAATACAGAAATTCTCAGACAGAGGAAAACTGAATTTGCTGCCATCAGGCTTGTTCTAAAAGCATTGCTAAAGTATGTTCTTCAGACAGAAGAAAATGACACTGGAAGGAACATGAAACATCAAGAGTGAAAGAAGAGCAAATGTACATCACAGTGTGAAAGCTTTCCCTGCCTAATTCCACTTTGGCATGCTTTATCTTTCATAGGCATGGCTCCCTAATAAATGTTTTGCATTTCTTTTTAAAAACATATAAAGTTAACCAGACAAGGCCATTTAGATTTAACTAAAGTTGTAATCCTAGTCAACCAGGGCTTAAATACAGTCCAATCAACATGGGATTATTTTACAGGACATACAGGAACAGGTAGTAAGCAACCAGCAACAGCAACTGCAAACAACCCACTATTTACAATCACAATGCAGGAGTGCTCTTCTCCAAAATTAACCACATTTTTCTCCCAATAAAAAAAATAGGATAGATAAAGAGCTATCTACTCTATTTTTAGATGTCAAATCAATAGCCTAAAACTGAATACATATGTTAAGGTTTGGAATCACTCAAGACAAAACAAACACAAAAAAACCAATAGTAGTACTGCAGTCTTAATTGTATTCATTTTCTTTTCATAGACATTTTTCTTAGCCAAGCACAACCTAAAGAATAGAAGTAATACGGCTGGGGGTGATGGCTCACTCCTGTAATCCTAGCACTTTGGGAGGTCAAGGCAGGAGGATCACCTGAGGTCAGGAGTTCAAGACCAGCCTGGCCAACATGGTGAAACCGTGCCTCTACTAAAAATACAAAATTAGCCAGGTGTGGTGGCGGATGCCTGTGATCCCAGCTACTCGGGACGCTGAGGCAGGAGAATCACTCGAACCTGGGGAAGCAGAGGTTGCAGTGAGCTGAGATCACGCCACTGCACTTCAACCTGGGCAACAGAGCAAGATTCCATCTCAAAAAAAAAAACAAAAACCCAACCAAAAACCGAATAGATACAATACAAAGTACCTAGATCCTAAAGCAACAGCATCCATGTACATAATGAAACGACTGTTACCTAACACTGAAGAACCACAACTGCTTATATAAGATTATCATGTTTAATTTCTATTTATCAGATTCTGCTTGTTGAGAGCTAATTTTATAACAGTTCATCAGTATTTTTAAGTAAATTATTATAACTTTACGCTGTCTATAACAACTAGAACACTGGATGTGGTACTACTTTCTGCTTCTTCTGGAGTAGAGGCTCAAAGGCTGATTGACGTATTCTCTCCCAAATTCTACTTCCCCAAGAGCCATTCAAATGAATAAAGAAATGGGTTTCTGAAGATGACAATTTATTACAAACTCAGGAATCTGCCTATGACTCTCTAAATGTCTAAATGCACAGTATAAGCAAAGAATCAATGAGATTAATTAAGAAAGTTCTCTCACTAATTTATCAATTTCATTAAATCCGAATATAACCTTCAGGTTTCTACCTACTCATTTAATTATTTTTTCCCCCAATCCCATCACCCCTCAACAAATTTATCAGTACCTTTTCCTTAGGAAAAATTAAACAACTCTGGAAGATATGCTGGTCAGTTCAAAGCACAGATCACACTGAAACAATTTTATCTGGTAGTATATATATTAGGTCAGAATTTTAATAAGCTACCATCTTACAGTATCTGCTCAGATCAAACAAAATAATCTCTTGAATTCTTTCCTTAATATATATATTAAAAGTAAACATCAATTACCTGGAAATTACAAAAAAAAGTTTAATATTTAAACAGTTTTCCTTGGGTTTGCTACAAAGTTTTACAATGATGCCCTTTGTGTACCTGTATTTCCTTAAAAGGCTTACTTTAGTCACTACTATATGGGTAAGAAAAATCAAACACTCTTACACTCAAAATCTAACTACATTCATAATCATAACTTATTTTCTGCTCTTGGAAAATAAGCATGAACGAGCAATGCATTCAATTGTTTTCTGGACATTTCTGAGCTCCCTTCTACCATTCTGATTTTCCAGCATAAACTACTGAGGTAAGATAAGTAAACTTCCATAGCTTATTCCCTTGTGAAATGTATTAAAAATTAAAGCTACAATTATAAAATATATAGAGGTTAAGAAAATACAATACAGTGTCAAACTCCTTTTGTTGTAACTGCAGTTTCTTACTCACTGTTGCATCAGAGCCAGCATCAGTTCCAGCTTCTGTTGCTAGGTAACCAAACTCGTTTGCATGGCTGTCCAGAAAACCCACAGCACTGCAAATGAGCCAAGAGGTGGCTAATGAAGAGAAATACTACCTATTATTAACATCTTCTGTCTTACTATACTTTTTTCTTTTCATATTTTTTAAGCAAAAAAAAAAAAAAAAAAAGATCTGGCATCTTGTTCTTAATTGGGAAGAAAGGATCCAAACAAGAACCAAAAGCAAAAAAGCACACATTCAAGGGTGTGTCCATCCAAAGAGGATGTTCTGACTTGGAAAGAGAAATCCAGGACATACTAAATCTAGAAGCTGAGGCAGAAGAGGAGTAAATAACTTTAATACAACATCATTATGAAATTGTGAGATCTAAACAGACCACCCTGCCTCTTTGGTCATATCATGAACATACTGCCTCTTTGGCCATATCATGAACATACAAATCAGTCAGAAATGGCTTTCACTGTTTACTGTCAAAAACCAATCCGTTTCTCAAATATATTTTATAAAATTATAATGACTGAGCAGACAGTGGTAACAATATATAGTAAAACGCAGTATTTAATTCCTAAGTGCCAATTCCCTAATAGTATTAACATGTATTTTGAAACTTCTCCAACTACTTTGAAGAAAAATTAGTGTATGAACCTAACAACGTGCTACTGTTTTACCTACCAGGAATTAATTTCCCTTCTAAGCATCCAGTTATTCTGGTTTAGCAGTAAGAGGTAGACTGCAGAGGATACAGAATAAGAAGACCTGGATTCTGGCTCCCCTCAGACTAACGGACAATAGCTACTTCACATACAACCCACACAAGATTAGTATTCAGAAGAGTTTGAAACAAACACACACCTCTCAATAAGAAAGACAACAGAAAAAATGGACAGAACATGAAATGCACAAATGGGAAATTCCTAATGTTAAACATGAAAAGATG